TCGCTGGTCTCTGCTTAAGCTAATTTTACACAAGTTCTTGGATTATTTGCGAATCGACAGAATTGTGACCTGCATGGTTCGTGGTATCGATATCAGTCGTTGCTTTGTATTCTGAAACTAATGAATTATTTGGATCACCAAGAAGAGGAATTATTTTTTAATTTACCGCTCAAGCACCTCTTGTATATCAGTTTTAAAACATCTCTTTCCATATTATTGTGCCGAATCAACCCAATACGAAATAAACAATCAATTTTTCCAGATCATTTATTTAAACCACTTTCGCAATCTCTGCAATACAGATCTCGCTCGTGTCGTGCTCTTGTAATTGGTTATTGGACCAAAGTGTTTTCCTAGCCAATAACAATAAAAACCGAAATCCAAAGCGGTGCTATTCTGCACGCGAGTCCAAGCAAGAAGATTGCGGGATTAAGAGCGCTCTAGGAGCAGTTAAAGAATTAGAGTTTCTTAACTTTGAACGTTACAAAAAGTGTACCCTTATCTCTCGCCAAGTCCGATTAACTATCCCCGACTTGAACGGTGTTTAGCAGTTTTGTTCGTAGAACCTGGAAACGAAGATAGCCATACTTAGTATTTATAATCGTGCGTACCTTACTCAACCTTGTGCACTTGTATTATCCAAGGTATAAACATATTAGATTGATTTAACAACCCCTTACGCTTATACCATATCACTTTGCGCCTAAAAAATTACAGTAATTTTACACAATTTCGTATTATCCTGTTCGACCGAAAATTGTCCACCTCGAGAATTAATTTCAACCATTATTTTAATACGCGGACCAAATTGAAACAATTTTCGTTATCTTTTCAGAAAATTCGCGTTGATGAATTTTCTCGCACATAGAAATGAGGAAAGTTCGCTAAAGTTGAAGTAAAACGAGAAATTAGGCGATTCAGAAATGTTTCGCGACCCGAAGAAAGTAAAATTATGTGGGAAAAAGGTTTCATATCCCGCGATGAAAGCGCCGTATTATTTTTAGTAACGTTATTTCATGCTGTGCGCAGCGCGCGTCGGTTAAATTATGGTTGATATCATTATTGCAAAAAATACAAACGTAGCCCCGCACCTTTTGCTAGTTCTGCGTTTCTCTTCTTCGTCCAGGAGCGACCTAAGGAACGGATAGCTTTTCGTATTAACGTTCCCCGTAATACGTTTCTTTTTTCGATTCACGAATTTCTCGTATACGCGAAGGATTGCAACGCTTCCCGGCTTTTCTGCATTTAAATTGGATCGAAGGGGATGCACGCGAATCCCCCGCGCTTATGTTTGCGAAAAACTTCAACGAACATAATTTTTATCGCGAGCAATATCCTGTCGCAATATTCTGAAACCAGTTCCGAAGTTAAATCATACCGAGCCAAGATAAAGTCCTCCCCTTTGAGAACGAGTTAAATTAATTTATACGTTTCTATTAATCCACACGTTCGAATGAAACCCGTCGAAAAGGTTGTCCACAAGTATCCTGGAAATGCGAAAACTTGAATCTGTCTACAAGATAAATTCGAGTCGGTTGTAAAAATACTAATTTACATTTGCGTCGGAGTTTTCATCGATGAAGCAACTTCCTTTCAGATTCCTTCGCATGGATCGCGCGGTGCAAATAATATTCAATTATTCGTAAAACACAATGTTAACAAAAAATTAACGTAGTAGTTGCTTATAAATATGTGAACACTTCGTCTATTGGAATGAGTATTTAAAAAAATAACAAAACTATTAACGATTATTAATGATGTTTCTGTATTTAGTTTGTGTTGCATTAGAGAATATATTTTCTCAGTAGTTTATTTAACGTCTCACCGTGAAAATGTAATTTATTTCGAAACATCGAATCTATCATTTATTCAAAATTTCTTGTCTGACTGTATTTATGGGCGGAGGTGTATATTCTCGTGCATAGTATCTATGGTAGGACGATCAATTTTTGCTCCGTATCTCCTCGTGTTTAAATAGAATTTTCTTGATTTATTGCGAAAGCAGGAAATCGTTCAATTCGCGTATGGAGTTTATCTAAGACAATGAGATAGATGGTCCTTCCACTTTATTTCCGCTTTTGGCAAAGACCTCGTGGTTGGTTTCGTCTCTTCGCTTCTTCTCGACTCCTTTCGCCTCTCATGCGAGAGCAATGGATCCGTCAGAAAGTCGGAAGATCGCTATCGTTGCCTCCGCGAGCGAGTAAAATATGAAACTGTTTAGTTCTCTCGGTGTGCAATTTAACGTTGCTTTGTGGCGAATGCGCCCACACACACACACACACACACGAGCGCGCGCGCGGAACGAGTCAACATCACACATCACTTTTGTGCAAACTACGCGAGATATCATATCGTTTCGCCTCGCTGAGGAATATTTCATTCGTGTACGTTTCGTAGGTCTACTGTTTGGACGAAATACTGAAAACTAGACTCTGAATCTTTCGTGGTTCTTCTTACACGCAGTTGATATGGTTTCCCATTTCCGGTACAAGACGCGCAGCCCTGGAATTTATTTTCATGTTTCTGGAGCATTATACGGTGCGAGTGTATTTATGTTTGAATCGAGGTACGAAATATTTTGCGTTTCCGTCGACTCAAAAATGTTTTAATAAGTTCAAGTCTTAATAAGTTCCTTGTACGTTTTTGAAGATTTTAGATCGGGAAATTATCAGATTTACAAAAGGTAGACTTTGATTGAAGACAACTTACTTTTCTTTTTCTTTTACGTTCTTTGGCAGGAATACAATAAATTTGTATAATTGAATAAAACTAATATTTAATTTGATCAGCACGCAGTGAAAACATTATTTATCGAAAAAGCATGACGCTTAAGTGACAATTTATTAAAGTTGGTAATTAATTTTGCGAAACGTTTAAAGCTACCCACCAAACAGAAATTATTTTGTCAAATTGTTTGAAATCGCAAAACACTCACTTCGTTTCGCTAAAGTAGTGACCAAAACTGTCGCTCCGTTATTTTTGCTCCAATAAATTGCGGTTTGCTGGATTTTCAATTTGGTTACCGCGAGCAATGGAAATTCAAAATTTTGCCATCCGCAATTTGGAAAAGAATACGGTCACGCGAACAAAAGTTTCCTTAAACGACACAACATTTCTCTCGAAAAATTTTCATCGTCTTCGCGTGGAAAAAGGTACAGTCCCAGTTTTCAGAATTACCCTGTGCATTGAAATAAACCGTTCCTGTTGAGGAAACTTTCGTTGCTTAAAAATGGCTGCGCCAACTTGCGGGAAGCGTGTCAGAGGAAGCAGCACCTCTCGGTTGGAAAAAATGCTGGCAATTCGAAATTATTTCGTATAATATTTTTGGATCGATTCGAAATCACTATTAAGTCAAAATTATATAAAGTAACTTTAAATTGTAGATATATAGTCAGTCCGATAAGTATTCGTACTTTTTATGTGTATTGAAGACATGTACCTAAATTCATTGATAGGCTTGAAGTTTCCAAATCAATTTTTTATTATAAATATACAAATATGTGAAGTTTGTTCATCTACATATTTTTTAGCACACCATGTGCGATCGTATATACTTTCCCGTACTCGAAGGAGAATTTCGGGATTCGATGGCGCACGAAGCAGCAAAGATACACCGAGTCCTCGCAGACCGTCGGGTGCATAAAGTAAAAGCGAAGCCGGATAAAAGGAGCCGGGAACTAGCGTGAAACGTGCGTTTGAAGGGTTGGCTGAGCGTGTGCGCGCAGGTTTGCGAAAGTAGTCGGGTAGAATGATAGCTTTCCCCTCTCCTGACCTTCCCCCCTATCGCTGTTTCCCTTTTTCTAAATCTCCGTTTCTATTTTGTTCCTCCCTAACGTTCTTCTCTTTGCTCTCCATTTTCAGTTGTGCTCCATCATGCTATTTCTAACTCTTTGTCTCTCCCGATTCCACCCCCCGATTTCATCCCCTATCCTACGAACTCGCACTCTCGGTTGCTCTCGTCAAAGGGATCTCCGCGTCCGCGTTTCGAGGCGGACGAGCGTCGCGTGTGATTTGAATAAATGGACCGCGTTGCTCGACGCAGGGAGTTAGGGAGAGGACGAAGGACTCGGGGTAGACATGAGGACGTCAGACCAGACCATCGTGGACCATTTCGCTGACAGTTAGCCGTATAAGAAGCGGCCAGGATATCACGCCTCCCGCGGACCCATTTCTGAGCGCGACGCTATCTCAACGTGACGAATGACCAGCTTCTCGAGATCGTTTGGGAAAACGTATCCGTGGAAACGAGGGGACGAGCCAGCTACGGAGGGAAACGTGTGGCGTCGGAAATCATCCCCGTGTACCTCGAAAATTCGCTCGGATAGAAAGGAACAACCCGCACGTTTCTTATGGGGAGAACACCCTCGGTCAAATTGCTCCGTTTTGAAATATGCTTTAGATTTTATAATTCTGGACGGATGTCTACTTTGTCAGAAGGGAGAAAGATAGTGGAGCCTCGAAGTCGTAGGCTTGAGTGATTGCTATGTGTATTTCAGATAACCTGGTGTCCTTTTTTATGCTTTAAGTTTCTGTTCTTCATCTGTTTCTTTAAAAATATAGATTTTCATAAACATTCGCAGTCTATGATATTAGTCTTTCTAAAGCCAATGCTTGATTTTAATTTTATTTGCGGAATAAAAATATTACCTTCTTTGGTAATATCATACATTAGTGGCACACCATTGAGGGATGAATTTAGCACTTGTAAATAGTAGAAAATTGTTAAACGTGAGATATTTCGTATCGTACTCTCCGAGTGATAGAGAAATAGTGATATTTTTGTTTTCAGTCGAACTATGTTTGCTTAAATTTACATCGAGTGCTCAAAATAACATCTTCCATTTCGGTGCAAGCCTGTAGGCATTTAAATATTGGTATTCTACCGTAAGCGTTGCGTAAATTGAAGCTGTATTTGCAAACATTTCAAGTGGAATACACAATATCAGCGTAGTTAGCCAAAAGGGAAATCGAAACATAATTATAGCTGTAACTTGAATGCACAATTAATTAGCTTACATATTGATATCTTTGTTATTGTTTTAAGCAAATCTTTCTAAATACTTAATGATTCAGTAAAGGGTCTAAAAAAAAAAACGTAGCGACTCGCTAGAATTATTAACGCACGACCGAATCCGCGATATCTTAGGACGGCACGTAGGTGGTTAGTACAATGTGTCTCCTGCTCTGTTTTCAGGCAAGTCCACAACGTCCGAGAGGCACGTATTATGTGAGGTGAAACTTGCAACGAGGGAAACGAAGATGTCCGCCATCAGCGTAGCTGCATGGTTGCTCAGCGCCGTCGCTTTCGCCGCGATTAATAACGGTGAGTCGCATCATAAAACACTTATTATTCCAATTACCCAGTCAACGCAATCTGTGTGCAATAGTAATAACAAATAATATTTTCCGCAACAAATTGTTGTTTCCCGTCGCAATAAATTGTAGAATGCATCACTCACGTTCGAGATCCAAACATTAAAATCGTAAATTTGAAATTTTCTTACGCTCCCTTTTTCGTTCTGTTGCAATGAATATATTAATTGGCAAAAGGGAATAAATTTGCACGTTTCGCGTAACGTTTGGACACGCTGCCTTGACGGCGCTGTGTACACAGTTTCAGTAGCAAATAATTTTCACGATAAAATGCGAAGTTGTTCAGCAATCGCTATTTCTCATTCCGTTTGCTTTATAGCATTGCTTGTTTTCTTGGTCATTATACCTTCGTTTCCTTCGCCACTTGTTTGAGAACGTTGTTGGCGGATTTTAATTGGATGCGGACATGCAAGCGATACGTTTTACCGCGGTATTTAAAGTCACAATTAGGCGGCGGAATCGTCGGAGCGGAGGCGAGTGTAACGGCTCGTTTTTATCAAAGCTCGATAAAACTTTTATGAAACGCGAGATTGTGTAATGAAATCTTTTTGATTGTAATGTTTATATCATTAGTACGTTTTCGTTTCTTTTCAACGCACAATTCTTTCTACGATGTAGCTGAAAGGTTTTGGGTGTTTCGGTTTGAGACATTATTAAAATAACTGCAAAAAGGTCTGGTTGGCGTGTCTGGCAGTTTCTCGCAGTGTTCGAAGTTTTCCGTCGCTTTGAAGTCATTCACATTCAGTTTAGAATTCAAGAATGGCTCTTTCTAGTCGTTAACGAACTTTCAAGTTCTTTTTCCTTTCTCCCGTTGGTTTCGGTAAAACTGAGCGGAAGAAACGCTGACATTTCGAATGCAAGGTAGCAATTAACGTTAACACTGTTACTTTTGCAAAGTGATTCGCAGCTGGAGGAATTGCAATATTGCAAAGTCGTCGATGCGTGATCCATAGTAGATTAGATTCAGGTCTTGTCATTATATAATTAGAAATATATTCATCAATTTTAATCACGATACGAGATACGAAAAACAAAATTGTTAAGAAATATTCGAATAATCCAGAAATCCGGGAAATGTTTAAAAATCGTTAGCAATAGACTCGTTCGTCCGTGACGCAAAATCATTTTTCATCCCTCGGAAAAAATAAATACCTCTTTCTCGTGAAGTATCTCTGGAACGGTGATTGAAAAAAAGATTACACGTGTTGAATACGTGTTCTGTATCTATCAAACTGCGTCCAAGTAATTGTCGAAAAAGGTAACCAAAATAGCAATCCGAAAAACGTGAGATTTTGTCGATAATAATTTCAACGTGGTTTCATAGATCTCCACAAAAGGATTCGCCACTATTGGTTACATTTTGGGAATAACAATTTTGTATATTCCTCCGATAAAATTCTTCATTTTTCTATTCGTTATTCGAAAATTTCACGTGTTTCTGCTCGAAGCAATTTCGACTCGAGTAAGTGTAAAAAATAATTACATTAAGAAATCCGCTGTTGGGACCTTCTTTACGGCGGGAGTTCGATCAATACCACTGACAGCGACTTACGGTGCGCGAGTTTTAACATTTCCCCGAACGAGACGCCGTAATTAAATATTCCGCTTTGCTGAGACGCTGTCTGCGCTCCGTGGATATCGAATTTAATTCTCTCGGTACCGGATAGATATTAAGTCGCGATTATAGCGGGAAATTATGTGCTCTTCTCCTCCGCCCCTTATTATCTTTGTCCTCGTCGAAGAGCCACGGAGAAGTTAAATCTACAATTCAAATCTTCGGGCTTGACCCAGAACAAACGGAGGCCTTTTTTTTCCTTTGCGATCGAGCCCGGTTGGTCGGTTTCGCGATTCCAGGCCGAGCTGAATAATTTCCCCGATGAGTGTGTATCTTTGCGGCCATGATTCCTCGGACGAATCATCGTTTTGTACAGGAATTTCGTGTGCTCGCATATGAAATTCGACGTTCGTTTGAGGGGAGGGGCGTGCAAAAGGGTGCAACGATCCCCGAATCAAAGTGTGTTCGTTTGTTTGACGATTAGGCGTCTGCACGCGTTCGAGTGCTTTCGTCCCAGCCCCCCACGAGGGTGAGAATGTAAATATGACGGGGCAAGGTTGGCAGGATGGGTTTCAAATTTATCGAGCTCACCGCGGAATCGCATACTTAAGGGTGGTAAACCACAGTCACTGAAAGTTTTATGTTGTATTTTGTCCACATAAAAGTAACAGACAGGATTCAAATTACTTCCATTAAAATAACCATTCCTGCGCGAACTCTATTTTTTCGAACCCGAACCGATACCACTTTCACAACGAGCGATCGATGAAAACAGGATCAATTTTTTGCTCGAGTATCCGAGCACTCGACGGTCGGTTCTTACCGTTTTAATGGGGCTACGAGCACGTTGAAATTGTACATCGCTGTCTGCAACCCCTCCCCCCTCCGCCCTGTGACTCCGTGACCCTCCCTTTTTGCCTCCCGCTCGACAACCCCTTTTTCATCGAACGCATATCTCGTTCGTCGAACACGGACAGTGGCACGGGTATTTTCGCAGGATCCCCGAGCGAAACCGGTCTCGCTCGCGACTTAGACGGCCTTGTTAGATCGAAATCATTAAAACGAGAATGCTCGAGGTGGCCGCGATTGTGTAGGTGGCTGGCACGGTCGCGTGCACACGCGCACCGAGGAAACACGTAGAGGCAACTCGTTGGCTTTCGTCTCGAGCTGCGGGCAATAAACACTCTTTTTCCCGGGCAAACAATGCAGTGACACGGGGCGAAAAATTAACGAGGCGCGGGCCAAATTCAAACTCATCTCCATCCTTCTGTTCCCTCTTCGCGTTGCCTCCCTTCGCTCTGCGCCAACGGTTCAGCCCCTCCCTTCGCCGCATTACTTCTGTGGAAATGCAGTCCGCGCTCTGAATCGTCATCGGGACGTATGCACCGGGATACACGACCGCGCGTTGACGTTGTACAGGGTGCTCTGAAACAGATGGTCCAAACACACGCGGAAGTTAGTTCGAATGACTCGATAATTAACGTCATTCAGGGTATATCAACCCATAGAGACCATCATTAATAGTGGTGAACCTGTCAATTATTTTTATTTTTTTTTTTTTTTTAAACATTTACATACTGAAAATTTGAACTATCAATTTTAGTACAACATGTACATATTGTACAGTTGTACATATTTCCTAGTGCTCGTATGGGACTCTATTCGTGCGCACTTGCGCAAGAGTGTGCACGTATCGAGTGCAGGGAATCCACGATAGTTGCTGGGGTGTACGTCCGATCGGTCATTACGAGCAATTCCAACGGGCAGGTAAGCCTGTTGACCAAGCAGGGACTCGTAATTACATCACCAATTTGCCGAACGTTCGTTGACGAAGCGACTGTTGGACGTGACGTTAAAGACGAGATAGCGAGAGTTAAGCGCGGATTACGGTCGCTCTCGGACATCTGGTAATAATGCAAGCCATGCGTGCACTTGGGTTTGTATTATTTTCACATTAATTGATGGCCGCTGGCTGCTCGCGATCATCTAAAACGATCCACGTTGCGCGCCTCGGGGGTGGTTATCGACGAAATAATTAATCGACGGTGTTTGTTGTTTAGAAAATTAGTCGGAACGAGAAGCAAAGCAGGTAGTATCGCGTGGTTGCTTGAAGTCTGGATCAAAGAACAACTGTTGCGGGCGAAATTCGCATCTAAATAACAAATGTTGACTATGGCATGAAGGATAAATAATTTTTTAATTGATTGTAGGCGAAATTATTACAAGCTTATTCGAATTATTAAACAAATATACTAGTTTATGTATACACATATACACGAGCGCAGTATAAACATACATAAAGTAGTTTATTCGCTCGAAATACACGATAACGAATAATCATTATGTCCACAGAAATATTGTTGCTCCACAAAAATATTTATTAATTAATTGGCGGATTTGCATGGATACCACCGCGAAGAGTTATCCTGTCCTGCGAAAATATCGAATGTTGCGCACACCGTAATTGAATTTCGGATCGATGAACGTCACCAGGGTTAACGGGCGCAATTTTTCCTCGCGAGTGTGTTTCGCCGAAATGAATTCCGGTTTTCCCCATTTTCCTTTCGATCGTTACTCGAGTTAAGCTTCAATTTCCTCAAAAAAACGCAGCTCGGTTTTTTCGAGCGAACCGGGAGGTCGACTTCCATCGCTCGCCTCATTGCACGGTGACACGCACGCGAAATTATATGGCAACGTACCGCAAGCTTTGAAATATTGATTCTGAAAATTCTGATAAGATGGCTGGAGCACTGCAAGGGGCGGCGTATGGCAGTCCTTTGATCGACCCAAGTATTAAGACTCGATAAAATAAATATCTATACTAGCACGAATAGCGTGGAGTAAGCCCCAATTGCACGATTGTCATTACACTATCATTGTTACATAATTTTCTTTATCTTCGAAGCATTCGTGTTTTAACTGTGCATGATGAAAATGCAATAGACTGGTATCTTCTAACAATTTAAGATTAACAAACAATTTTGTGACTCGTACAAATTGAACACGAACGTCAACGTTTGAGTTTGAAGTGTGCATAATAAAAATGCAGCAGACGGGTATTTTTCAACAATTTAAGATTAACAAACAATTTTGTGAATCGTACAAATTGTACACGAGTGTCTCGACTGTGCACTTGACATTTGAAACTGCATCTTCAAGGATCCTCTTGGTTTTTAAGGGTTCCGGGCCAGGTCTTAGGATAATATGGGAAGATTCAAAGGACTGCACTGCGACGAATGATTCAAATCTGAAAGGCCAGGACGTGGAAGGGGTTAGGATGCATGTAGGTTACGATTCCCAGAGAAAGTTTCGCGCGATATTTGCTTTACAAGCAGACAGCGGTGGTTGGAATTTTACAGTATTATCAGTTCAAGAGTTCAGGAACAAAACGAAAT